TCATTGGTTGGCTGTTTGCCATCCCATGATCTGAAGAGTTCCTCTAAAAGGAATTAATAAGCAACCATATATTTAAAAAATCTATTGCATCCTATTAATCATTGATTTATTCATGCTAGATAAAGCAGCCTTGGTATGACAGTTTTCCAAATTTCTAATAACCAAGACACATTTTTCTGAATTAAAACTGGGGACTCTGTTCAGTTTGAGACTTCATCCCTCTGTTTCTGTCACTGGGTGAGTCATTGTTCCAAACGTGCCGTTTCATTAGTAGTAAGCAATTCCAGAGCAATAATTCACCCAGTAAATCTTGAGTGAATAAATGATCCACTTGTGCAGAGATATCAGCTCCCAGTAGAGGGAGTTTATCACCGCAGAGACACAGCAGGCACTTCTTATACTGATAAGACTGTGTAATTCACTGAAGCCTTTAAAAACAGGAGGATGGTTTTCTACAGCACGCGAAATGCATCTGGCGCGTGGCTTTTGTGTTTCCAGCTGAGGTTAAGAAGCCCATGCAAAGTGAGGGAAGGGGCTGCAAATCCTTGCACAAGAGAAAGACTGGTTGCCTTCCGGTGCTTTCTGGAGCAGTAAAAAGCTTGCTTGCTTCTTCTAAACCCTAAAGGCGTTGTGCTCTGCAATACATAAACTCCAACTGCGTATTTAATTACTTTGGGGGCTTTATCTTGCTTGCAATGACACATTAAATTGCTATCTACCAGTTCCTGAGCTGGCAGAAAAGTATGCCAGCAAAACATTTGCTGCCCCGATTGCTGAGCCCTATTCTGGCACAATAATGAGGCTGGTGATAGGTGGTGTCCTTACAGTTTTAATGCAGGATAAGTTAAGGAAAGCCATTGGTAGATTCATCTGATTTTGTTTCCCTTCCTACCAATTCTCACCTGCCAGTAGGAAAACAGCCACCAATTGCTCTTCCTAATGGAAGGAGCAGAGTGAAGTGAATATAGTGTTGCTTGGAAAGGTGTGGTTAGCCACCTCTCAGTTATTTTAACTGTAATATCTTAGAACACAGGTTTAGTGCACTTTTGAAAGAGCGCTAAACCCATTTTTTAAACCCATGTCAAAAAACAGCCCAGCTGAGAAGTTACAGGCATAGAGTACGGATGCAGGAGGGGGGTGATCAGTAACAAGTGAGCTCTGTTCCTGACTAGTTTTACGACAATATGGCAGCTTCGACAGTGAATCCAGTTCCATCCTCTTGGCCAGGAGCATCTGGGAGTAGGCTGTGGACAGCCATGGAGACGGAACAGTGTCGGCAAGATGCCCCCACACCCAAGTAATAAAAACAGTAAAAAGTCAGCCACACAAGGTTACTTGTTCGCAGAAGCATTGGAAAACCTATAATACATGCAATTGTGACAGTACCAGCAATACAGAGCAGCTGATTTACAGAGCAGCAATACACAGCTCTTTCCTGGTTGAAACTGACTTCTCTACAGCCTAGAAACGATATGCTTAAAGGAAAAGAAATCAGCCATTGTTTCAAAAGAGCTCTAAGGCCATTTTTTAAATAATAATTTTTATTAAAGATTTTTTTCAGATATAAAAGATAAAGTAATATAAAATTAAA